TCCCAGCCGGCGGAGGCACAGGCGCTGCCGTTCTCCGTGCGGCGGGGCTCAGGGCGGCGGTGTCGCCGCTCACCCGCAGAGGCGTCCACTTGCCCGAGGGGTGAAATGGGAGCCGTGCCCTGGGTGCAGCGGAGCTCTGGGCTCCCTGTGCTGCGATCTGTGTGTCCCGGCTCTCCCATGTCCCGGCTCCCCCGTGCCCCTGTCCCTGCCCGCCGGGGCCGCACCGGAGCGGCGAGTGCTCGCCCCGTGGCCATGGGTGACCGCTCCCCTCCCTGGGGATCGCGGCACCGCTCCGCTGTTGTTATCCCCGCCAGGACGGGACCTGTGCGGGCTCTGGGCTCCAGCACTGCAAACCCTTCACAGGCATTACAAGCAAGAAATGCAGCGATACAGAAGGTCCAGGAACAACAGAGTACAGACACCGTTTCAGGTGAAAACCGTGAAGCTACGAGAAAACACCTCACGCAAAGGGAGCAGAACACAGCCAGAAAGAACATTAAAACATCAAGAGGAAACTYAGATTAAAAAGCGACTGTGTAACAATGCGAGGGCTCGGGGCACATGGGTTGTCTTCTTCATCACCAGATTCATGGCTTAGAAGGCATTTTCCATCTCCCTTTACAGTTACTATAAAATCAGTCTGCATTTTCTGTTTCCAGATAGCATTTTCAACTCTCAGTGTTTGCCAGGCTTATCTTGTCCATTTGTCTTTCCAAAACGTTTTTCTATCAAAACCATCAGAAATCTCTTTCTGCTGTAATCGATCTCTGCTACGCTGCTTTATTAGTGACTTTTATGTGCTCGTGTAATTTGCTTTTCCTGGCAGCATCACACTGCACCATTTTTTTTGCCACAAAACTCTCCATTAATCCATCTCAAGTGACTCGTGTGACCAGCAATCCACCAGCAGGAGTAGAAGATGCAACATATGGTCCTTTGGAAGTGGCATGTCTACAGTTTCCCAGAGAAGAATTATGTTCTGTTCTCTTCAAAGCTGTCATATGTCTACACCCTACACCTCCAATGACAACCTTGTCCCTAAGCAACTCAAATCTCCTCATTTTAGGGTGTTAAACCTTGGAAACATTTGAAAGAGGTTTCCAGAGACTGCAGCCCACTCAATCTCTGAATMTTTCTATATTCAGATGCAAAAGAAAAAGTAGTAAATGTAAAATAATTTGCGAAATTTGTGAAATCTAGAAATTTTGGCTTTCTCAACCCATTCCTCAATGSTGGTTTTTTCCTATCTTTAACTATAGTAATACAGCTTGATGTACTACATCAATCAAAAATGGAGGCAGCCAAACATCCTATGTCCAAACACTGTCTAGCTCTGAATATTGAGGGACAAGAATAGTCCTTTTGCCAGGCTTTGCCTGGAAAAGCTTCAACACATTTAATGGCTTTTTAAAGGCTGTCTGTGTCCGTGGTTGCAAGCGATTGCTTACAACAGCTGTGCCAGCAATTACAAATTCACAAAGTTCTGAACCAGTCCCTTCTCAGATTCCCAAGGAACATGAACAGATTGTGCAGGCCTTTCCCTCAGATGGCTCTTGGCCAGCGTCARTCTCACACATGCAGCCCCTTCTCACATGACAGCAACTCCATACTTCAATTAATTTTTGTAATTTTGCTGTTTCATCTACATGTCACTCAGGGTCATGGCTTCTCCCACCTTTTGCAGTTGGCTTTAGAAATTTCTGAGACTGCAGTACCCTCACTATTGAATGCTTGTCTGATCACATCTGCATGTGCTCACCAGTGCAGATCCCAACCTCCCCTGCTCATCACCATCTCCTCTTTGGAAACCGATGATTTCTTCCTATTCTTTGTCCTTTCTGTCTTAATCAGTTTTTAATGCATGAATGGAGCTTCTCCTTAAGCACAATGGGTGCCAAGAGCCTTTGGAGAGCAAACTCCTGGGAAGGCTTTGCAGCCCAACTACCAATTAAATCCAGCATCAACCATCATCATTATCCATGTTCTCTGATGTCTCAAACAAAAAAATCAGTTAATAGGTGCAAAGTGACTTCCTTCAATTGCTCATTAGAGAACTACTTTTACTAGACAGAAATTCTTTAAAAGAAGCCTACAAATCTGCAATAAACCTTTTCCTCCCATCCCTGCAAGATAGAGAGTGATTATTTCTTCCTAATTCTCTCTTTTCTGAAGGCTTGGTTCTTCATATTGTTTCAGAGCAATTGACACTGAAGCATTCAGGAGCATTATGCCAGAGTAAAGAGAGATAAATGAGATTACTACTGAGGATTAGAAGGGTAGAACCTCAGAATACCTAGAGTGACTCTAAACTCCAAGCAGAGATCAGAGAAAATGCAACATTAAAATAATTGTCCTTTTTAATCCAAATTGGTGGTTAAAAATAATTCATTTCTTCTGTCGGTTTGTGTTAGTTTTCAACCAGAAATTATAAAAAAATTGTATGATTCTGCTTTACTGGTTTAATGTCAGGTAGGACAGACACCATCGAAGGACAGTGCTGGTGAAATAATTTGGTTTAACTCTTCCATTTCCCAATCAACATCATCCAAATAATTTAAAAAACGAGATTTGGCCATTTGTCCTTCAGCCAGTGGTTAGAGTAAATGCTCAAAAGCCTCTGCTGATGCTCTTTTGCCAAATTTATATCCAAGTATGTAATTCAGCTGAAACACAGATTCTAGAATTGGAGACGGCTGAAACAATTTTCTGTGTGACACCTTTCATCAGATACTCCAGCCACAGCTTAAGAAAACAATTCACCTTAAAATACCCAGAGTATGTTAGCAATTAATTCTTGCAAGTGCAAGCGAGAATTTAAATTTTTTTTTGAATGTGCTGAAGTGGTTTCACCCTTCCTGGTATTGTCTTTTCCAGTCAAGCTCAGAAATAAACAGGACTCCCATTGCCAAATTCATACCGGATGTCAGAAAAATATAAAACTGTTTATTCCTTTGTTAGTCTACAGCAGCCTGTACACTAAGGAAAGTATTTCTTTTTTTAAAAAATCACCTACTTTTACACAGCTCAGGACAAGAAAGGGCATGGATTTCTTTTGCTTCTCTAAGTTCAGCTCACAGCATGTTCACTCACAGAATAAGTAACCAGCAGTCAGCAACACCTCCAAGTCATCTAAAGAAACAAGCAGCTGATTTGCCCTGTGAAGATGGAATCTTCAGCCATCAGCAGAATAGTGTGGTTGACATCTATCTTCAGGCAGTGGCAGCCTGACACCTACGAACAGCACTGTGCTAAACACCAATTTCACTGAACATCACTCAGATGGTGTTTCTACGCTGCTGTTGATAAGAAAAGTGCAATTCAGACAGTCCGTAAAGTGCAGAAACTGCAGCAGACGCTGTTTCTCCGGAGATGGTAAATAAAATGTTATTTCAACAGCAGAAATTCTCATGTTATTTAAACACCCTCCCACCTTGCCCTGCCCCGGGCCTGCCTCACCAGCTCCTGTTCCTTGGCCAGACTTTGGAAGGTCCTGCAGATCTCCCCCAGCAAAGCTTTGCCTCTGCCACTGATGTGGGGCTGTGTCGGAGCCTCCTCCTGCTTTTGGAAACGCTCACTGAGGAAAAAGGTGACACAGAACAGGAATCACGCCCTGATTTGCATGGTAAACCATCTAGAAAAACAACATTTTCACCTTTTGCAGTGAGATTTAAATGGCAGACTGAAGGTGGAGGAATATGGGGAAAGACAGGAAAACAACTCAACCTGTAAGCAAAGGGGAAAACCAAGGCCCAATAAAAATGGTACATTCAGTAATAGGTGTTCACCTGGGGCACAGGATGCAACTCTGTGCTTTGGTTTTTAATCTCAGGGGAAGGACTGGAAGTACTAAAGAGAAGCATCTAATCTGTTTTTTTGTTTTTTTTTTTTTTNTTTTTTTTTTTTTTTGTTTTGGTGATATTAATTTATTTTGCTTTTTGCTGTAAAATACTTGGGAAAAAAAATCCAAACCCCAAATGATGTTTTAATGTAATCCTTCCCCCAGCTCAAACATTTTCCACCAGTTTTAACTTGGATTTATCTATCACATGCCAAGCATTATTTCATTACAATTCTGTGTTCTGAGGATGACTCATCATCAAATATTTCTGTGAAATATCTGCAGAACTCAGTGATGCCAGCCTGCAGAACACACTGCTAGCTGAGAGCAGTAATAATTCTAGCTGCCATTTTTGATTATAGGAAAAACAGGCAAGTACAATTTGGGAGTTATTATCATTGGGATTTTCATTAAACAGACCTCGTGTTTGCTCTGCAAACTCTGAACACAAGCTCATCATTTCCCATTTCTCCCAGCACAAGTTTTCATGCTTGTGAGTGAACTCCAACACATTCTGATAATCAAATGGCATTTGAAACACTCAGCACAGCAATGAGGTGAATTTGCTGGTTTGTAATTGGGCATCTGTTTGGGAACAGGTTTTATGGCCAGTTTGTGGCAAAGAAAAGAACTTGTGAAATAGGCAATGACTCTTTTGCAGTTCTAGCAACTCAGATTTGTTGTGGTTTTCAGCAAAGTCAAACTGATATCATGTACCATCTTTAGAGTTCAATTTCCAGGTCCTTTTTACAAGGCCTGAACAGAGAAGTTAAATATCCTTAAATCTTCAAGGGTGAAATAAATGCCAAGCCCCTAAGAAAACTGTTTCTAAAAGTGAGCCAGTCTTCCTGGACTCATTTTTATAATATATTTTCTTTCTTTGTTATTTTTTGTTATTGAGAATTATGGGAAGTAATTTGCCTTTATTGGGGGAGGGTGTTGTTTTTGTAATTATCTTGAAGCAAAATAACCTCATGGCTGTGACATCCACAAAAGGAGGAGTAAGAGCAAAGTGCTGCCAGCTTCCTTCATTAAAGCTTATTTTCCACTTCACTGTGTGTGGTCAAAGAGCCCAGGAACATCTCTACAATGCCAGCGCCGCTGCATTCTTTTTGTTTTGTGTAAATGAGGCAGCACACGTCAATCCAGCAGCGAGCAAGAAGATTCTTTCTTCTCTGCAGTGAGGGTATGTGCAGTGAAATATCTTCCATTGGTTCACAGATCCCAATTTTATCCCCAGCATTGTCACAGGAAGACAAAATATTAATTGCTGGCCAATGGCTGGAGAATATTTGTACAATAGGGAGCAGAAAATATTTCACACTAATTCATCTCTACCACAAAGAACATACTAATTTACACAAATTTTAGACACACAAACATGGCTAAAATAATTTCATTATTTCCTTAAATACCATTACCTTTAGGCAATATCAGCACAAATACAATTAATAACTCATTGAGAAATATTAATTTCTTTCCTTTCCACAAAGATGAAAAGCATGTAAATCCTTTGCCTAAAAGCTGGATGTGTTCCCCCTCCCCTGCAAGCTTTTCTACAGAAAGGTTATTTTTCTTGTGGAAGAAGACATTTTTATTTAAAGAAAAAAAAATCAATACACTATTTGATTACCATTGTAACTTCAACTACTTTCTAGTAATGTGGAACTTTTAGTGCTGTGTTACTTCTAAAGCCTTGGCATTCTTAGAGTGAAATAAAAAGAAACCAGTCAAAAAACATGCTTGCTTGCAGTAAAAAAGAAAGAATCTGTGGACTAATTTAGAAAAAAAATAATCCAAGGTTCACAACCATATAGGATATTACCAGGACTTTCTGAAACTGCAGTAAATCTATCATGCTTTCAAAAACAAAACTAAGCAACACAGTCAGAAAGGGGAAAAACCTCCACTCTTTCCTGTAGCTCAGAATCGTAAGCTTTTAGAAAATAATTGAAGTATTTACTTTCGACCTTTAAGCCAGATTTAATAAATACCCTAAATCAAGACATATGATGTCACACGATTCATATCCATCTTCATGGATAAAAAGAAAGAATCTTTCATGTCAGATCAGATAAAAAGTTCCTGCACTGTTGGAGAACATCACTCAGTTGAACGCRCTCTGCATTTCCTTGCTTTGTTTATTGGACAAGGAGCTGAATTGTGAATTCCAGTGGAATAATTAATAACCCAKAATTCAGTCCAGAATTATCAATTCTAGAGCAATACGGGCACTCCAATCCACAGAAGGGCTCACCTGGGATGGGTAACACCAACAGACACATCCCAAACTGCACAGACCACACAGAGTTATTGAGAGCCATTAGACCACCAAATATTCCGACAGCACTCGAAAAAGAACAGGGATGAGGGGTCCACACAGCATTCCCAAAATCCCTGGGGAAGGGAGGAGGAGGTTCTGTCAGAATTTATTTTATACTTTTGTCGTTCTAATGTTAACAATGAGGGGTTTTATCACCTTCCACAGAAGACTTCATAGCCTCATGTATATAAGAGACCATGAATTTGGCTGTTTCCTATTACAGAAATAAATCTTCGACTGTAATCTGTTCATTAGAAGAATGATGCTCCAAACCAGATTGATATACAGTAGCATTATTAAATGTATGGTGATTCTTTACAGAAAAGAGTTCTGAGACCTAAATCATCTCAAATTTTTAGAATTGGCAAAAGAAAAAAAATCATCTTTAGAGTTTGTTTTCAGTTGCCTTTTAAAAAGGTAAGGATTTCCCTTAAAATCCTCCTCTCTCCTTCCCGTTTTCTCCTTTCCCCACCACCATTAAGAATACCTGCAATGTTTTACAAGTTCCAACAGGTTCGTTAGGCAGCTCAATCAGATAAAACCTAACTGTAGTAAAATATTATGCCAAGTGAAGACAAATAATTAAAAACCCCAGGGAAAACCTCTCAAACTCTACAACTGCAATTATCTATTTCAATTCATTAGGTGGGAGAAGCACAGATTTTGCCACAAATGTCACCTTGTAACTTGTGTCAGTGCCAGGAGAAACCTGGAATCGCCACTGAAATCCTGCAAGATGCTGTTGTCAAAAGCTGCTTGCTTTTTTCCCTTCCTGCTAGATAAATATCAAGCAGGGCTGAAAGAGAACACAGATGGAGGCTAAAGGAGGCTTAACACCACTGACTGATGCATCACTGCTGCTGATAGTTAGAGAACTGCAATACTTTTACATCTGAGACTGCTCAGAAACACCAAGAGCATATTTTAATGAAATGTCCTTTCAGATGAAGCCTTTAACGTCACAGATAGCACATGAAAAGGTAAGAGAATCATGATTTCAATCTTGCTTTTGTGACACAAAGGTATACCTTCCACAGCTAGTACTCCCTCTCAAGCGAAAAAATGAGAACTTACAGAACTTTAGAAGTTGACCATTGAAGTTACAAAATGAAAAGGAGCTTCTCCTATCTTCTATTGTATTTGGTATTCTGCATGGTGAGGCAACAATGCAGTCATTTTTACTTTTGTCTGCCACAAAGAACACCTTTGTTTTCAGCACCCACACTGTAGAACAGAACGTCCATCTCCTCATCCCTTGAACAAGTTTCATGCACACAGTAAGGACTGACCCTGGCTGACAAATCAGCAGAGCTTCACTTGGTTTTCTTACTTTTAAGAGAATCTTTCCCTTCTTATTTATAAGAAATAGTAAGATGAAGATGTCACTCAGATTAGATTCCACTAGAGTGAGATTTCTCTCCATATTGATTTTAGGACTCCTCCCACCCCATCCCTCTGGAGTTCATTTTGACAGGCATCATAGGCAAAACAAAATTGTTAAGAATGTCACGTTCACAGGAAAAAGAAGGTTTTTTTTCCATATTGTGAAGTCACTGTGATACAGAGATGACCTATTAAAACACAAGGAAAATCTGCAAATGGACTTTTCTCTCAGATAAAAATTCCTGTTGTGTAGAGGAAAACTTAGTGGCTCCAATGACCATTCTTGTGCTCAGCACAGGTTTCTGTGACTTGCACTCTACGAGTCCTGGTGAGTGATCTGGAAATGCACTGATCACCACGTGGAACATTTGTCCATGCTTCCATTAAAATAATTTCAGGATTTAACTGGTTAGTGTTGTCATCTTATTAAGATTTTAGAAAAAAATATTACTTATCTTCTATAAAGGTTAATAGAAGTCTAAGACACATCTACAATTAAAGACAGCGAAACAGTTTCACCTCCTCCAGGCCGAGAATGGCTTATCAAAAGATTTTGCCTTTGAAGCTATAAATGTGAAAAAAATGACTATTTAGCAGCCAATCATTAAAAGACAATTACACATTGACATGCAAGATGGTAGCATTCCATTGACAGTTTTATACAAAAAAATGAAGACAGAAACCCAAAGAAATTCTCCATTATTATTTTAGTGCACCCTTTTATTAACAGACATTTTCTTCAGTAGGTATTAAATGTGATAAATGTCATTTTCTCAAGTTACTGAGGGTTGCTTTTCCATCACTTTCAGCCTAAGTTCAATTGATTGTTGGGCAGATGGTGCAAAAGAACACATAATGTGTTCTCAATCTGACTGACACAGATTATAGTTTTAAAGCAGTGATTGAAGCACTTTGATGTACCATTTCCTCATCCTTCACCATCAGACATGAAGGTTTCCTTAGTTACATTGATGCTGTCTCCATAGTAAATTGTGTTCCAATTATTATGCAAGTCAGGGAAGTCTATTTT